GATGTTGCATGATTTAAAAAAAATCTGATTTTACCCAAAATCTGTTTTTGCAAAATCTGGAAATAGGGATCAGAAATCGCCGCTGGCAGTAATGATTGCTTTTAATCTATAAATGTTGCTGCAAATGTTTTGTTTTGACGGATATCTGAAACAGTAGAACCACTGAAAAATAATTCATTTAATTTACTGATAAACTGAATACTTTTTCCACAACATCCCCCCTGCCTGTATAAATGGCCTCATTGGCTCTCAAAGCCATTTAATCAACTGTGCCCTTGTTCCTCTACTTCTTATTTGCTACTAAACTTGAACTTATAATATCCATTGTTTTATTAATTTGTAAGGAAACGACATCTCTATTGAGAATACCTTTTTTGGGGGGGTGAGGGAAGAAAAAGCACCTACTCCATCTTGTTGTAAAGCCAATAAGTAGCCACAAATTTATTGAACATATCTTTTTCTGAAATGTCTTCTAAATCAAGAAATGTCGTGTTTATGTTGTCTGTTTACCACAACAGGTAGTTGTAAATTTGGGACCAAATGACCCATCGTTATCAATAAAGTTTGGTTGTTTAAATATGTCTCAAAAACCTGACCAGTTTAAAAATAATAATTCAAAGACTAATTGTGATTTGTTCATACTTTCTGCTTTCTAGATTTTTAAGTTAATGCTGGTTCTAAAATATGGCAACAGTTGCTACAAATCTTTATACTTGAACACCGTATACTTTAGTTTAAGGCTCCCTGTAGGGAATTTTTTTTTTAAGCTTTTATTTTTGCCCAAAGCCCTGTACTGCTTTTTCTTCTTTTACTTAAAATGTTTGAAAAGTATGTTTCATGTTTTTTTTCTTCAAATTTCAAATTTATTTATTTTTTTTATTATTATTGGCTGCCAACTGTGTAAGCAATTATCGAAAATTGAAAATCAATTTTGAATTGAACAGAGTACAGTGCCAGTAATATGTTTCATCTGCCTCACTACTGCCACCTGCTGACAAATATTATAAGAGCATTCTGAGTATGTTTTGCTCAACTGATGATGTGTGAGGATACTTGATCTGTTTTATTTTATTTATGAGGCCGGTAGTGGTGTAAAATCTTGAAGTGGTCCTGTGTTCAAAGACAATGTTTGTTTAGGTGTTTTACACACGTGCCTCGGTTATCTGATATGTTTTTAGAATCTGTACAAATGTGTTTATGTTAACATTGAAAAAAAACCTACGTGAAGAGAGACTAATTTTACCATATTTATGCAACTTACATGTCATGAACTCTGTTTTCGCTGTCCTGTTTTTTACAACAATTATGTCAAACAAAGACGTGTGGTCAACTTTGTAAAAAAAATAAATATTTGTACCAATCCCTAAGGTGATCAAATGGTTTTGCTTTTTTTTTTTTTATTGTCTTTTTAATGGTGACTTGTGCCTTAAAGGAATAGTACACCCAAAACATGATTAGCCTTCATTTTCTACTCACCCCCATGCTGAACAACACTCTGGAGTACTTTTTTGA